CGGCGTGCAGCCGAGCGGCGCCGGCGGCGGTAGTGCCGGATCCACCGGGGTCCCGCAACGCGGCGTTGATGATGTTATGACTCTGCTCCCAGGTGCAGTTTTGGAGGGCGCCGGGGCAGCGTTTTTGCTGCAACGGGGTCTGCTCCGGTGTGGGCAGGACCCCCGAGTCCAGGTCGTGTTGGGTGACCTTCCCCAACTCCTTGGGCCAACCGTTGGGCATGAGCGGGGCCAGCAAGGCGCCGGGTTGCCCGCCGCGCGCCCGCCGCTCGCCCAGCCGGCTCACCACCGGCTGGCTGTGTGCCAGGATGGTCTCCTTGTCCTTGCGGCGCGCCAATTCCTTGCGGTCCCGGTGGCCGATGAACCAACAGACGCTGAAGCCGGAGATGACGGCGCCGATGACGAAGGCGGCTACGGAGGAGATCACCAACAGGTTCACCGATACCAGTCCATCCGGCTCGTCCACGAAGCTCTCCGTCACCAGTCCTGGGTGGTGGGGGGGGGACACACATCAGGTGACGGGGAGCCCGGCGGTGCCAGCTCCGTGTCCCCGAGCCCCGTCCCTCCCTTGCACTCACCCTCACACTCGCCCAGGTGGGACGTGCTGCCGCCGGCGATGTCCTGCTCGAAGGCCACCCTAGGGGGGTGCAAATTGGTGGGGGTCAGCCGGTGCCTAACAGCCTGGCAGAGGGCTCCCAGCTCACTTTGGCAAGCAATGAGTTTGCTGGGTCTCAGCGGTAGGGGGGTTGCAGGAGCTGATGCTCTCTGGGGACCCCACTGTGTCGTCCCCCCCACAGTGTCCCCCCGCCCTGGGTCTGGCAGCGTTACCTGGGACTGGGCTCCAGGAAGATGCAGGAGCCCTCGGGTGTCCAGCCGCAGTAGGGGTCCCTCCCGAGGCAGTTCCTGGCAGGGAGCAGAGACGTCAGGATCAGCCCTGACATGGGGGGAGGACCACGACACCCCAGACCCCGCCACGAGGGACTCTGACCCCGTACCATGCCGTGCCTCAGTTTCCCCTGGCTGTGCTCCCAACCGTGCTGAGCCCTTCCCGGCTGGATGCCGGCGCAGGGAAAATTCCTGGGATGTGAAGGTAACCCCTCCTAGCTCCTCGCATACCCCACCACCACGCAGCGAGCCCTGGCCACCCCCGGGGGGGGGGACACACGACGACGGGGACACAGCTGAGACCGGCGTACTCCCTTCCTGCAGCCCGAGG